AAGATCCCTTTCGAATGAATTCCAACTCTTGAGTAGGGAACAATGTTTTGTAAAATATTTTCAGGGCTACAATAATTGCGAGCGTCATCCCCCACTGACCTAGGCGGTGCGTTGTCGCCCAGGAAGGACTTGCAGAGACGTTCCGCTTCTCTACGTGTGATCATGCCGCATCTACGAGATGACACCGGCATCGCGCCGGCACGACGAAGTATCTCCAGCTGCACCGGAGTGCACTGCACGCAAGTGATGCCCAACGCTACTCGGCGATTGTGGATCTCGTTGTAGCTGAATTGTTTCAGCAGGGTGTTGCTGATCTGCGCGAGGCACAGCTCTCCTGGCCCTCGATCACCAGCGACACGATGTGGATCCCGTAAAGCGACACGGTACCCACCTGCAACTCCTACATGTTTTAGCTGTACCACGATGCCCCTTAGAATCGAGCATCGCTGTGCCAATTTCATCTCTTACTCGTTTATTTATTTATCTGTCACTATTTTTCGCAGATCTCACGTGATTCACGAAATTGTTCTAATAATTATAGTCGAGTCGATGCGTAATGGGATATATATATATATATATATATATATATATATATGTATAATAATATTTATATATAGTATTATATTTAATATAATATTTAATATAAATATAATTATATGTATAATAGATAATATATTATATAATATATAATTATATTTATATAATATATTATATGTCTCGCGAAGATACTTGTGCAGCAAAAACTCCCTCTAAATATACTAATGATATTAATTTACATAATTTTATTTAGTTAAGTTAGAGTTTTTCAAAAACTTTATACTGTTCGTAAATATTTTTTTTGGCTCAAGTTTATATTATTTTTAAAATTTAATTAATTATTTCGAGATTTTGTTTTGTCTTTGCGAGCTCTGCGTTTACCTGATTCTGTTTTGGATGGGATTGCGGTTGAGGTGATTGTGCCGATTTCTGTGAAGAAGTCAGCGGCGGCATCGACAGCACTGCCGGCCCATCCATTCTTAAAAAAAGATTATTAATACCGAATTAATGGGAAAATATATGAATAAAAGATTTACAATATTCTTGTTTGCTTTAATATTCACAAATATCTAATTTAAATTACATCAAAATACACAAATTGACATTAGAAGAAATCTACATATAAAAAAATAGTAGTATTTATATTTATTAACTATATTTATAAAAATTTATTATAAATATATAACATATTAATTTTTTTGAAAATTCTGAAAATATGGTGATTAATAAAATATTCATTTAAACAGAAAATTTGGCAATTATATTATGTCACTCTAATAAATATAAATTTTGTTTAAAAATGACATGTTCTGCGACCTCCACTTCCCGATGCATTTAAAGTCATCGCCACTTGTGTCATTTCTATCATTGGCCCAAAACAAAATTGATTGTTTAACAACGTTTCGAAAATTGTTCGTAATTTTGTCCCGTCTATATCGCGTTATTCGAATTCCCGAGCCTATTCGACCTAATAGGGAAAATGCATCACCGATGCGACGCGGCAATAATTCGCCTCTCGACGTGGTTTTTATCATCATCGACGAGATTGATTATAATCTCTGATGTTTTACGGCCGCGCTAATAAATTCCGCGTTTCCCGCTCGCGCGCAGGATTAAAAAAAAGCGTTCTCCTCCGGCTCCCACTCGTATCTCTCTCTGTTTCACCCCTCTCGTTGTAATTATATTTATTACACTTTATCGATCAGCATTCTCTTTTGCTCCCTCTCTCTCTTTCCTCCCTTTCTATATATATATATATTTCGATGTGCCGCCGCGTCCGGTGGATGCATTCAGCTCAATTAAATCGCGGGCCCTTCTCGTTTTTGCTCGTCCCGATCGCCGACCAATTAAATCGCGAACGATTAACGCGACTTTTCATAACGTAAGCGATAACGCGCGCGCTGCTGCTCTCAGACCTCCATTTATATTCGATCTTTTTTGACAAAAAGATAAAGGTCTGACTCTCTCTCTTTTTCCCCGGTGATATTTTTACAAAAGCGAATATATGGAAGCAATGATCAAATTGAAAGCTGGATTATATATTGGCTAATTTTACAAATCTATCTTTGCGCCAATGTTTCACGATTAATCCCAATTTTAAAAACCTATAAATAAATATTAATTGCCTCGTCGATTGTAGAGCGACGAAACACATTTCGGTTGATTATTTATTTCAATCGCGTACTCGTATATTTCGTAGATATATTATTTTGTATTACACGTGCAGGCAAAGTGGCACTTTGCGTGCGTGTTTTCTGTGCGGAAAGCGGCCCGATTTCCCACGTCGCAAGATGGCGGCGTGCGATCGGCCATCTCGCGCCACAAAAACGCGCACAAAGCCACTTTGCTTGCACTTGTAATACAAAATAGTATGTGTATCACGTGCGGATTGACAATTGTTCACTCGTGTTGAGTGGTCGCTCGCGCCAATTGTCAACTTTCCGCACTTGATACACAATATACTATTTTCGGATGCCATATATATATATATATTTATCATTTTGATACACTTGATTGAGATTTGCTGGATATCCTATATCGATGCCAAATTAATCGGAGGCGAAGCGTTGCACTCGCGATTGGGAAAAACACGCGTGCCGATTAAAAGGTGTGATTAAATTTGTCGCTCGAAAGGCCTTCCTTAATTATCGGACGGTAATAAGCGAATCCAAAGACCTGCTGAAATTAAACTCGCGCGATCAAAGCGCTGGTCGCCGTATTCTCTCTCTCTCTCTCTCTCTCTTTCTCGAATCGCGGAATAGAATTAAGGACGATTAAATCCCTTTTCTCTCGCTTAACCTTCTTTCCGGCTTCTTTCCGTAATCGGTAATTGGTTGATTCGTTAATCGCGCCGAGAAAATAATGTTACTGCGCTGATCTCTCAATGTAGGAAGAATTGAAAGGTATCGAGAAGAATTTTTAAAATTATAAATTTGTTCGTTTGAAGAAAAAAAGAATTTTTCTTCGTACTTCATAATTACGTCTTTTCAATCAACGTGACGATGCCTGATTGAATACCGCATTCGCGCCAGGCATGAAGAGGCTTTACGAGGAAATAATTTAGTAGCGAACCGTCAATCTCTCGACACGTCTCCGTATTTTTTTTTTTTTTTTTTTTTTTTTTTTTCCATGAATCAAAGTGGCAAGGAATTCGCGAAGAGAGAGGAATACGAGAGCGAGAAGCCTTTCTCAATGAGAACGATTCGCCAAGTTACATGGAGCAGACTTCCTTTCGCGAGGATCGTCGGATAAGGAAGAAGAAAAAAAGAAGACGTAATGCTAAAGGCGAAAATGAGAGTCGGCTCCGCGAATCGGTTCTTTATCCTCTTAGCGGAAACGAAGAGATCGAAAAATTTCAAGTATCTGTAATAAGTGACTGAAGGTTTCTCGTTAGTTTAAGTTAGAACACGACAAGGATTTTCGAGAAAACGTTTTTTTTTTTTTTTTTTCAAAGACGAATTTTGTAATAAATTTATCCTCAAATAGATAAAAAAGATTGCACGCACTTCTAGAGACAAGAAATGGAACAAAAGTATGTGTATGAGGCATGTAATAATAATGACTTAAAGATGAGACATTAAATAATTTTATTACAATTGCTAATATCGATAATCAGGAAATTTTTGAAACTTCTGACTCGGGTAGATTCTTATTCAATTTATATATTCATATTTTTCATTGATATTATTAATTAATATTTTAATTAACAGGTTCCAGTTGGAGGAAATTATTTTTGTATAAAGAAAAGATTGACTTTAATTATTTACAGCTGCTCAAATATTTATTGTAGATGCATCCTGTTGCCCGATCAATTTTGTTCGTCTTGTCGGAAATTTTATTACAATTGCTAATATCGATAATCAGGAAAATTTTTGAAACTTCTGACTTGGATATATTTTTATTTCAAATTTATCCTCAAATAGATAAAAAAAATTGCACGCACTTCTAGAGACAAGAAATGGAACAAAAGTATGTGTATGAGGCATGTAATAATAATGACTTAAAGATGAGACATTAAATACTCTTGAATATTTGAGAAAGAATTCGTGAACGCGGAATTATTGCAAAAGCAATTCTCGCGGTGTGGCAAAGATTTTTCATGAAAAAAAAAGTCGACGTAGAGCAAGAGTGGATGCGGACGCGCGATAAATAAATCAGTGGAAGAGAATCCCCGGCATATCTCTCTATCGAATAACGCACCGCGAAATTCCGGTCGTTCCACATAATATATATATATATATATACAGTTCTACATAACCGAGTCAATAACATAATGCACACATAAGACAAGAGAGACGGGAAAAAGAGAGGCGGAAAGAGCGAAAAAGTCGGGAAGGTCGAGAGAGAGGCTGCATCGCGGAACACAGGTACGCGTCGATTAGGAAGAGAGATCAAAACGGTCGGCGAGGGAAGGGGGTTGGGGCCAACCCCCGGTGTTGATTTAATTGAAAACGCCTCCGCGTGGAGAGAAGAGAAGGTAGCGCGCGCACACATTTCTATATATATATATATACGTATACACACGAACACACAGACACCGATGCAACAACCTCCCCGACGTCCGGAGGCAGCGCCAGCGCAAACATCCCCGGGAGCCGTGGTACGAGGGGGTAATTCAATTTGACACCCCCACCCACGCTTAAACAAGGCAGCACCCATCCGAGAGCGTCCTCTCCCTCCCTTTCTCTCTCTCTCTTATCAGTTTCTCTTCCTCCTGCGCCGCCGTTGGCTCTCGTAGCGTGCAAATTAAATTCTCATCCACCGTGAAACAATGTCGGTACCCGACCCGGAACAACCCTCTCTCCCGTCCATCGCGAGTTTCAAGCCCCCGCTTCCTCTTCCCGCGCTTCGACGAACCTCGCGGATTCCGACGTTGGTTAGCGGTCGGACGGATCGGACTCGAATCGACCGCATTAATTACTAGCTACTTACAATTATAGCGCAGACCGAATAGAACGAACGCTCGATCGCGATAGCGCAAGCTCGCGCGTCGACTTGGCGAACGGTGATCAACTGTCGAGCGCGCCAGGAGTCACGTGACGCTCCGAGAAGAGTCGCGAGATACGTTCGTTGTAATTTATGATGATTATATGTTTACCCTTTTAGCTCTCATTAAGGTAGTATTGATACAATATTTTAATGGATGAAATAGAATGACACATTTGCAGGGAATTTGATAAATGTGGAATTGTCAGGGAAAAAAGTGAGGAAATTTTACTATTATCTGGATTTTTTCACATTCTACATTTGTTTCCATAGTTTGAAATTTTTTATTAGATAAATCTAAACTTTTCCTCGACCCCAGCACGCTAATTTTCTGTGTTGTTAAAAATCGATTCGTTAATTTAGTGACATGTTTGTTTCGATTATCAGTACATAATGCAGATTGTATAATTGATTAAATGATTTAACATTTATTGATTTATCATATAGATAGGTATATGCAAATTATATATTTGGAAAAAATAATACTAAAAGGGAAAAAATTAATTTCTGGTTTTGGAAAATCTGAAAAATCGGGGCATCATTTGGATGTGGACGATGACAGTTAAATATACTTTAATTTAACGAAAATTTTCAATCTAATTTTACATTTAATAATAAAGCTTCATTGTTAGAGATTCAGATGGGTTTTTCGAAATTTGCCGAGATAATTTCGAATTAATTTCAAATGTACTTTATAAAGAGCTTCTAACGCTCTGTTCTGTTTTAACGACTAACCAAATAATCAATGCTTTTCCACGATTAAAAAAACAAACCAAATTTTTTATTTAATTTTTTCAACAGATTTCAACTTTGTTTCTATATATGCACTTTAATCGTGGAAAAGCACTTATTATTTTATGGCTGCAGGAAAATGATCGGGTAAGAAAATTTGACGATTAAAATTAATCGTCAAGATATACCGTAATCCCTCCCGATGATCATTGCGCGTAATCATCAAGATCCGACAGAGTTCAGAAATATCCCTGCGAGATT